GTGTCCGAGGTCTTCAAACGGTCGTCCCTTATGAGCAGCGCCTTCAACACAGCTTGGGTGTCGTGGCATACTTGTCATTTTATACGCTCATGATGTGGCGCCACCTCCTCACCATTGGCTGTACCGTCACGTGCCCTGTGACGCACGCATTAAACCAAACCTCTAGTCAACCACACGGCTGCGACGTGACGTGCGCAATGGCGCACGCATTAGGCACATGTTTAGTCAACAAGATCCGCGGAAACGCCATGAGGTCGGGGAAGCGTGCTCGTCTCGTATCCCGAAGGACCGAATTCGATTCTCACCCAGCCCGAAACGTAACAAATTTTCTTTTCAAGGCCATTAATATACTTGCATTACAAGAACCTTCCTGAGAAATTTGACGTCAATCTGACGTCAAATTTCGACGTCAAATCCGTCGACGCCGCCGGATTTTTGTGTAAAGAGCATATATAATGCGTTCGCAGATACCCGAAATGGTACCGTAATATTCTGAAAAATAGCGCGCCTAAAGTTTAAAGTAAATAGGATGCATATGAGGAGTAGAAAGTAGGAAAAAAATGCTTGTTAACGATATTCTGACCTGCGAAACTTGTGAAGGCAAGTATAAGAATAGGTGCCTTGCCGACACACCAAAAAGTAGAGAGGCTGAATTATCCGGGAGAGGCTCCTCTACGACGCGCATCTCAAACCCCAGAGGTGTTGCTAACGTGAATCTTCGGTTACCGTTTAAAGCGGGTCATGTTGGAACGTTGCTTTTAAGTATCGGTGGTTTTTATCCTGCGTGCTCCAGTCATGATGTTCGTAGGTTCACGAACGCTATAGCACTCAAACCCACAGTCGCACCTGCTCATGGGTCATAACATCAGCGGACATTATCAGCAGATTATCTGCAGATACGCATGAATCATGTTCGAAACATGCACACTAATGTATGAACATATCTGCAGACTAACTTCTGTATGGGTGCATTAATACTGTGACTGCGCGTTGGGTGAAAAATATGGCGAACATTTGGCAAGTTAAACGTGCTTATCAAATAGGAGGCTCGTTCGATATGCATATAGTTCTTGACTACAGATAATGGGTTCTATATAGTATCTACGTTTATATATTTCATTAGCCACATCAGTCAAAGTTCACAATTTCGTGCACCACACCATGAAGAAATGAACTATACCTTCATAGTGGAATAAAATATCTAGAACTCAAGGGAAAAAGAAGTGGCAACGCCAGTTATTGACAGCTCGACTGACACTCTAGGCTAGGTGGCGCGAGCTACCGCCGGTTAAAAGTGTACAGCCATTAGCATCCATCCATCCATATATAAAAACGCAGCGTGGCGAATCCCGAACATTATATTTTTTCTCTCCCTGCAGCCATGCATGTTGCAGCATCCGAATCGAATACGAATGCCGAAAAACGTATCGCGAAGCAATACGCACAAACATAATGGTATACGCCCTGCCATCCTTAAAGCAGCACTGAAGAGTTTTTTGAGATCCTCGTTTTATGGCCATAACTATATCTATGAGCTCTAAGTATATATCCTAAAAAAAAAAACGAAATTACATTCATGCGCAGCCGATTCGCATATAAAAAAAAGTGATAAAATTTCCCGACACTTAACGTTGGCGCAAAACGACAGAGGGCGCTACCGAACCTTGCTGAATTTGGTCGAACGATGGACCGCGCGTGTCAGTCGTTTTCGAGCGATGGCTTCCTGCGTAGACGAGCGGCGTCCGGCTCGTTCACGCAGGAACCCATCACTCTCGAGTGGCTGACAGGCGCCGTCCGTCGTTGGACCATATTTCATTATGATGATGATGATGATGATGCGGCTCTTTCCCTTTGAAACGGGCGGGCTCAAACCAGGTTCATGCCCAGGCCCAGGTGTGTGCGAACCTTAATGTCCTCTGAGGTGAATCTTTTTCCTCCAATCCTGAAGTCTTCTTTCAGAGTTTGCCCCTGATCTATGCAGGCCACTAAAGGTTACCTGCCACTCCGTCATGGGGCAATCTGTTTGGCTTTGCCCGGCATCATTTAGTGAAAAGCCGAGCGCTTCAGCAAGCGACAAGGGGCTCCATGAATGTAGGTCATTGTCTTGGGATCCGGATGGCAGGAGTCTTGCGCAATATATTGCAATTTGTTTCGCCGTTTCATTGTGGGCCCCGCACATACTGCACACACTGCGCAGTCTCAAAGTCACTGGTGTCAAACCGACGTGTGTAAGTTGGTGTCCAAAGGGCCCCGGCGCGTGGCCCAACAAATAAGGTACTGCCTAGGCTTTTATCGTACAGTCGTACTTCCGAGGCGATGATTATTTTTCGCAGGTCAGGTACATCCCTAACATCGACTTGGTTTGTGCGCCTTGAAGCCAACGTCTGGACTCCTGATTGCGGGCCACTTTCCTTACCACTGTCGTCCGTGGCGTCTCCGTTGACGCCTGAACTTAGTCTGAAAATAAGCCGTACTTTTTATGTTCAAGTTTGAAAGGACGCTTCTTCCAGTGGGTCCGTAGTCCAGTAATGTTAACGTAGGTAACTGACCTCTTGCCCAACGGCAGCTGTCCATAAGGCCAAGGCGTCCGTCGTACGTAATCTTGCTCGTCGCCTCCCTAGCCTCAAAAGAGGACCAGCCGAGATTACCTTGGACTGCCTCGCTGGAAATCGTTCCGTGGCAGCCTATAGTGCTTGGCGTCCTACCTCTCGCTGCGTACGCTTCATAAGGGCGCGGACATCTCTGGGGTCATAGGCTACTGCATTTGCAAACGTCAGCCCTGGTGCCACTACTGCTTTCCACAGCTCCCGTAAAATGATGAATATGTTGCAACAACAGAGGCTTCCTTTGCGAAGAAGGTTGACTCCTCGTATATTTCCTTGACGGAGGTGGCAGTGGTGATCTTGCAGGTAATCTGCCGAGTCTGACAGTGCGATGCGAAGGATACTTGTGCGAATTACAGGCTGGTATATCGGACCCCCCCCCCCCTTCCCCCCCCCCCCCCCCCCAAGTTGAAATCTCTGGAGTGTTGTCTCAAGAGGGCCCGAAAATAACACCGCGACTGACTTGCTCGTGTGAAATTTCAGGCCAAGCCGCCTAGCCTCCTCGGTGCACGTGTTCAGAATTTTTTGCATTTCGCACACTGATGACGAGGTAATATTGACGCGAAGTTGTTCTTGCGCGAGTGTTTAGTCTAGCCATAATTTATGTTTTTATATTATCTGAAGGTTCGTTCCTCTCCATGGCACGGCTCGTGGATTCTATCAGAGTCGATAGGTCCCAGATTAAAGCGAACGTCAACGTTGTAACGTCCCCCTGGTTATGGAGCTCCGCATTGTTTTTTCTTGTGCATGTCTCCGTTTGGAATCCCTACTTCGCAGGTGGCTTGCTCTGTGTATAACTTCGCTGTCTACGGATGTGTTTTGTATTGTTTATAGCTGCTCTTGTGACCTTCGTTCGGAATGTGTTCTGTCTTGTGAATGCGCTTGTTTTTGGGTTGTTCCTATTCGCTTTGGGCTCCCAGTTTTTTTATTGGCTCTAAGAAAACCTTCTGTGATTGATTGCCAAAAGGGTTCCAAAATCCTGCTGAACCCAAAATAAGCAGCTACCAGAGGCCCGCAAACAGGTCGGCGCCCCGACACCATGCTGTAAGCATCACCCCGTCTCTGGAGACCAACCTGCACGTCCGATCCTTTTCGGCTGTGGAGTTTTCCACCCTCTAACTAGCCAACTTGGGACCCTTTACGGCTGTGGATGAGTTAACTCTCCCGCTTTTGTGTTGATCCTTGTCTGTCCAGTTCGGCTGTGGTCGGGGCACCCGCGGGAAGTATGATCGTGGAGGACGGCAGGGGAAATCGCCAGGGATAAGAGTATTTCTTCGTCAGCATTCGTTGACGAGTTTCCCGTATCTGCTGCAGAAGAGTAACTTGTTTATATTCCATAAATAAACAAATTTTTCGTTCATAACAGTATGCTCATCAACGGAGAAAATAATTTTTTTTCTTTCCGCGATAATATCGTCTGCGTAGTCAATCCCAGGAACACCCAGTTGACGCTAACCCCATGCTCTAGGTGGGCTAGCAAAAAGCCTAAGCCTGATCGAATAAGATGCTTCTCTAGGGTGGTTACAAAGAGCATACAAGACGGGAGATAGTGGCATCCATGGCGAAGACCCCTTGTTACCAGTCCATCCTCACAGCTGGCTTCATTGATCTCTGTGCTAACAGTATCGCCCTGCTATAAGCGGTGATATAGATCTATCCACTTCGGGTGCACGTTGAGCTTTTCTAGTTCGCAAACGAGCTGTGCATGAGGAACGCTATGTATATCCCACGTCTTGCTTGTGGCAGATATCCTCTATTGTTGTTGCCCACGGAGGCAGGAACACTTCTACCAGATGATATGTGAGGCATTGCCTCACCTTCTCCGTGAGCGGTCCTGTGTCTAAAATTACTGAACTAAAATTCTGAATGTATCGTCTACCCCTCTATATCTTTGTTTGCCAACACTTTGGGGTGCTTAAACGCTGACCTGATACCGCCGTCGGCTCGTTTCGTCTTCCATAACCACGGTTCCGCCGGTTATAGAGACTGGTGCCCAAACCAGCGTTCACGACGTTTCACTGCTCCTCGGTCATCAAAAGCGGCACTTTAGAAGTAGCTGGGGAGCTTGATTCTAGAGGACTACTAGCAATGCCCTGCAAGGCCTTACTTTATTCCGTCAGTTCTTTCAATTGTAGCTCCAGCAGTGTCACCTTCTGCTGCATTCGGTGTAGTCAGTTTCGATCCGTCTTCGCACGCTGAGCTTGTTCGGCAAGACAATTCAGCAGCCCTTGTAGAGCCTCTACTATCTGCTTGTGCTTTCGATGCATTTCAGCAAGCGAATGACAGTCCTTGCATGTGATGAGGGCGGAACGTCGTTTGTCGCAGGCTGTTCATCGATGACTTGCTGAATAGAATGTTGCGGTGCCTAATCTGTGTTCTTGTCTTTAGAAGGCTCCTTTACCACTTCGGTAGAAGGTGTGTCTTCGTGGTTGAGAATATGTCGGTAAAGTCGACGTACTCGTCTATATCCTCCTTGTCCGGCTTAGCGGTAACCCAGTTATTCGGGGCAACACGTGGTCTTCGTTCGTTTACTCTGTGACCCAGAAGCTGGACTGGTTAAACATCTGGCCTCATATCTCTGGAAGATCCCGCTGTAGCTTGCAGGCGTTCGATAAGTTTGCATTTGTCGCCGGTAGCAGAAAGACCCCATGCCTTTACCTCTTTTCAAATCTGGAACCTTCATCGCTGCGGCTGCCGTCTCCTAAAGGTGTAGGGGTCGAGTATGATTCCTGAATCCCCTGTCTTCGGAAGAACGTTACACAGTAACGCATAGCTCTCGGTAGACAGGCTTTGTTTTTTTTTTTGTTTTTTTTCACTCGCATTCTTTTTTTTTTTTTGGGGGGGGGGGGGGGGGGGAGGGGTTCGGGATCGGGAAATGTCATCGAGGAAGCATGGGAGGGCCGCCCCGCAACTGCAAACACTGCATGCCGATCATCCCGGCGGTGGTAGTCTACACCGCATCCTATGGACGTCGCCGACGAGGGTCGGATCCGTGCCGTCGCCCGAGTCGACGTCGCGGTCGTCACTCCAGCGAACGTCCGTTCTGGCCCGTTTCCCGCGCAAGAGTCCCTCTTCCAATCTCCCGTCGTCCGTTGTCCCAGTTTCCCCGTTGTTCCCGCGGTCGCCGCGCACCAGAACCGAGAGCCTCTTGTCTCTCACCATGAGCGGTATTCCGTTTAAACTAGCCGTATATATATATATATATATATATATATATATATATATATATATATATATATATAAATGCTTCCTTTTGCATTTTTTGTTAGGGGACTCAACATGGTTTCAGAAGACTACCCAATCAATATATTACTCCAGTGTCGCGTATTATTTTTTGTAAAGTCAAAAAAAAAAAGAATTGCTCGAAACTGAAACTGGACTGGAGGAGAAAGATACTTGAAATCATGTGGCTCTGCAAATTTTTTTTTTTCATTCAACGTATCTATAGTTTTTTAGAAGCCACAACAGATGGGTATCATATTTTTTGTATTGAGTGTGTGCCTTCCATGACCTACCACAGCCAATTTTTACCACAGCCACGCGCAAGGGTTGGCATTATTTTTACAGGGTTCGGCTTTTCTCATCATTGAAGAGTTAGAGCGCGAGCCCCGATTCGAATGCTTGTTGAGCTATCGATCATCACGAGCCCAAATGAAGTGCTCACGCAATGCTCGGGTCCTATATACGAGCCGCATTCACATATCCTCACTGGGGGCTATGCCGACACTGCGACCTCCAAGCTGCGTCGGCAAGTTTTGTGAAAAAGAGACTTAATGAAAACGCTCGCCTTTGTTCTTGAAATCACAACACAACAAAAGCTTGTCTTTGTCATGTCGTTGTGTGCCAATTTTAGTGCCAGTAAGCGCATCTAAAATGAAAGGAATCATTCCAACAGAAAAGCATTGTGTCGCCCTTTTAAGGTATGAGTGATGGTAACATGATTTCGAAACACTAGTGTCATTTTTGTTCCCGTCTCTAATTTTTTTCTTTCTTTTTGCAACAGTGTATTGCTTTACTCTTACGTTAACACTTTTTTTGTGACGTACCATTCCCACTTGTTTTCTGTTGTGCCCGGCGCAGAACATTAATTTGGGCCGATACCCGTATGGGTAGGTATTCCTGCATATTTTGTCTGTTATCACAGGGACGCTGACGGCCAACAAATGGTCGCTGACGGTTCCACCTGCACGTAAGCGAGTATACATAGCATTAAATTCCGGTAAAACGTGGCCTATTGCAGAAAAGAGGCAATCACGGCCGAAACTACAGGTATACAAAGAAGTATTTTGCTGATTACTCCAAGCGTAAAGCACAATTCTTCCAGCAGCGCGAAAATACCGTTGTTTTCCTTTTTAGAGCGCAGCTCTTAGGGGCCCCGTTCCCGGCTTGAGCGGCGTCGCCGTCGGCGTCGGCGTCGCCGTCGCCGTCGGCGTCGGCGTAACCAAGGTTATCCCAAGGTCACGTGACATTGGGGTCACGTGACATTGGGGTCACGTGACCCCTCCAGGTCACGTGACCCCTCCCAAGGTCATCTCAAGGTCACGTGACCCCACGTGACCCCCTGAAGGTCACGTGACCCCCAAGGTCACGTGACCTTGGGGGTCACGTGGGGTCATCTTGGGATCACGTGACCCCCAAGGTCACGTGACCCCTCGAGGTCACGTGACCATTCCCAAGGTCATCTCAAGGTCACGTGACCCCAAGATGACCCCCACGTGACCTCAGGGGGTCACGTGACCTGGGGGTCACGTGGGGACCTTGGGGTCACGTGACCTTGAGACGACCTTGGGAGGGGTCACGTGACCTTGGGGGCACGTGACCTCGGCGGTCACGTGACCTTGGGGAGGAGACCACGTGACCTCAGGGGTCACGTGACCTCAGAGGGGTCACGTGACGGGGGTCACGTGACCTCCAAAGGGTCACGTGGCCCCTCCCCAAGGTCACCTTGGGGGTCACGTGACCTTGAGGTGACCCCCATGTGACACCCAGGGTCACGTGACCCCCAGGTCACGCCTCCCCGAGGTCACGTGACCCCTTTCCCCCGAAGTCACGTGACACCCCCCCCCCCGAGGTCACATGACCCCCCCCCCCCCCCCGGAGCATATTAAAGAATGAGGGGAAGAGGAGGAGAAGGAGGAGGGCTCTACCCTCCCCTCAGTACCCTTCACTCCTCCTCCTCAAGAGCTGCGCTCCAATTCGGCGTTACAGGGATTTGTAAACGGCTTTCACTTTTTTTTTCATTTATTGATTCTGTGACAGTACTTGAAGCGCAATATTTACTACTAAGTTTAGTTTAGTACGTGTAATTAATATGTATAATTTAATATGAAACATATTTCATAAACGGGAAATACCCGTTAAAGAAACGAAAGCTATAAATTATAAGGAAGAGCGCCCATAACACCACTCATATTAAAACCGAAATCTCTGAGGTTGGATGGGAAAAGTAAAATATTTGACGGACTTGGTGCGTACATTGACATTGCATACGTCGAAACCGGAAAAAGAAAATGTTCCCCTCTGGCCTAGGTAATTCATTATAGCGATGTCACAATAAAAATTTTAAACCCTACGTCATCTGCTTCGTATTGTTCCAGAGAGCAAACCGACGTCCTCGCTGCACTCATTATACTTGCAAAAAGCGAACTTGCCTGAGGAAAAAGTAAAGAAAGAAAAAGGCTTAGCTCCTACGGAAACGCAGCGATGCCACCAGTCTTCAAACAATACAGCGCCGTTTCGCACGGGAGGCAAGAGATGGCGCGAGCGATCACGATGCCAACTGCCGCCAACGAACGAGCATACGGCGCCGAGAGCCGGCGTCTTCAACAGACGATCTTTTCGACTCAGAAACGGCGCGTGTTCCACAGGCGGCGACAGTTGCAGAAACAAAAACACGCGCAGTAACAACAAGGAACTGCAAAGCAAGCGACATAAGTACCACAAAACAAAAACTGACAAAATAACCGGATAAACCATTTTTTTAAACGATTATGTGTCCATTCAATGTTTTTTGTTAGTAAGGATGATAATATAATGCTTTGGCAACTGATATTAAAAAGTAAAAAAGATCGTCTGCTAAAGTCGTCGGCTCTCGGCGCCGTATGCTCGTTCATTGGCGGCAGTTGGTGTCGCGACCGCTTGCGACATTTCTTGTCTCCCTTGCGAAACCGCGCCGTATTGTTTGAAGACCGGTGGCTTCGCTGCGTTTCCACGGGGGCTAAACCTTTGTTTTTCTTTACTTTTTCCTCAGGTAAGTTTGCTCTTTGAAAAATTTACAAAAACAAAATGCACCATCTGTGGGCAACGCTGCACAAAATTATAGCGCGACAGCTAAGAAACCGAGTTTTGTTGACAATTTAAAGAGCCTGGCCGCTATTTGAGGCGCCCGGTAGTTGTTAAAAACAGCAGCCTAGATTTTGAACGAGAATACTTTTTCTGCAGCTATTTGAGACCGTGATTGGTAAGAACAAACTGCGCGAATTAACGCGCAGCCCTTTGTTTGTATCTGTTACTTGTCATGTTAAGTTGCTTGTACAGGCACAATAAGAAGAGCGTTTTCCCTGCCTCGGGTTTCTGTTACCCTTGTGCGTCCAGTTCTAGAATCGGGTGAAAAAAGAAGTGCGAAAAACATACGAATCGATAGTTGCAAAGCCCGATGTCACTTCGCAAATGGTGCCAATTAGATTAGCCTGTAATACGGGCTGCCGTGAAAACTGCTGTTGCCATGCGCATAAGCCCCGAAGCCACTAAAAGCGTTTAGTTACTTCACCGGGCAATCGGGAAAATAATACACCATTTTATGTTCTCCTTGCTGGATTAGCTGACAACGAAGACCGTTTCAACGTAAAAATATTCGAATTTGTGAGAAAATATTAGGTTTGTATCAATTCGTCACGAGGTATATAAAATACTTAATTCTTTATAATATAGAATAGCTTCTAAATCCGCACCCTACTACAAGAATACAAAATTCTGTCAATCAGATATACATTATTAAGCACGGCGCTGATTTGCGCTCGATGTTTTAGCATCATATATCATTTGTAATTAATACGCTGGTGGTGAATGTCAGTCAGAACCATCCCAAGTCGGATTGCTCTCGTCGTGACCGTTCAAAGAGGGAAACTTGGACAAGAGCATCTAAAAAGATCGTGTTAATTTAACAGAAAATTCGTTGAAGCTCTCAAACTTGTAAGATCTGGAGCCATTAGTGAGTTTTAGAGTAGCGTACGCAAAGCCTTTTGCGTATGCAAAGAAAAAGCTTCGTTGTCTTTACTCAAGCAGAAGCCCAAACTGTGTCTTGGGTTGGCGCTTCGCTATACCACGAGCATCCGCAGTGTGGAGAACGCAACGCTAACTCACAGCACTAGCGTTTGCTCTTCTGCGCAATAAGTAAACCCTATTCTTACCCTGAGAAGTTCTTCCCCATCCTGCTACTCTAACGGCTACCCCGGCCGGGGGTTGCACCGGGGTTAGGCAGACAGTCCCAATGCGTCCATGGCTGGCCTCAAAATCGAAAGGTCGTGTCAACTTGATGAGCGCGATGTCATTGCTGTGCTTATTCGTGAGGTGTCCCCAATAGTCCTCGTGTGTGATAAATTCTTTGATCTGTAGTGGAGAGGACTCTGTTACGTAATCGTGGTGGGATTACACATTAGTCCCCCCACCTTCAACATAGAGCAATTTAATATGTACGCACCTGTTTCTTCGCGGTTACTTTTATTTAATTTACCTCAAAGCGCCCTTTCGGGCATTGTATGAGGGGGGGAGTACAAGGTTTTCGACAAAAATATTGAAACGATACATATCTTACAATTTTACAATTTACGTTAGTTTACAAGTTAGTTTACAATTTACAAGTTACAATTTGAAACGACTGAAAGAGCATCACCTCCAACTTTAAGCTTGTGGTCACGTACGAACGCACCGACCCAGCGGCTCCCGAGAGAACTTTTCTCCACTCGATCGAGCGGCCCCGGAGAGCGTCATGTTACCTTACCCGGCTCAAGTGCTGCGTCGTCGACGAATGTTGCCGCACGCTTACATAAGTCCGCGCAACATCCATTGCACCACATTAGACAACATCTTGGCAATCACCCCATAGCACTGCCAATACTGCTGTCTCATCTGGGTGACGTATTGCCTCGCGATTCCACCAGTTCACGCCATCGCGAGGTAACCCTCAGCACGAGGGTTTAAAAAGAAGTCGGACAGAGGAATAAAGGAAGACGAGACGGAGTGAGCAGCGAGACGGCATGGGACCATCGGCCTGAATAAACGCCGACAACGCTCTTTCATCATTATTATAAATTTGGCCAAGTAATAATCAGTTAACGAAATAAAATGTTAGTGTTCTCACCAACTGTTCCAGACCAAGTCTAGAACAACCCGAGATACTACAGTGGTGACCCGATTTTCCCCAGCGCAACCACAAACAACCCCAGCTCAGCCATGCCGGACGAGGAGCCCGTCTCCAGCACTGTTTCCGCAGTCGCCCTCAAGCTTCCCCCTTTCTGGCCTGCGGACCCGCAGCTGTGGTTCGTCCAAGTCGAGTCTCAATTCGCCACTCGACGGATCACGGCTGACATGACGAAGTTCCACCATGTCGTGTCCAGCCTCTCCCCAACCATTGCCACAGAGGTGAGGGATCTGCTACTCACACCGCCAGCCGTCGATGCCTACAGCACCCTAAAGGCACAGCTGATTCGCCGCACAAGCGCCTCAGAGGAGAAGCGTCTACAGCAACTCTTGACAGCAGAGGAACTTGGCGACCGCACTCCAACGCAGCTGTTGCGTCGGATGGAGCAGCTCCTCGGAGACAAGGCGACGACCATCGACGAGTCCCTCCTCCGCGAGCTCTTCCTGCAACGCCTGCCGAGCAACGTTCGGATGGTGCTGGCATCAGCGGGGGACATCGGCCTCGCTAAGATCGCCGAGCTTGCAGACAAGATAATGGAGGTCTCTACCCCATCCCCGAACATCTCAGCAGCCCACACCCGATCCAGTCCAGACGAGGTCCGTGAACTACGAGCCGAGGTCGCGCGTCTCGCTGATCTTGTGGCAAAATTGCAAGCTCCTCGTGGCCGTCGCGCATCACGCGGGCGTTCCCCCGCCGGACGCCGGTCTCGCTCTTCCTCCCGCACGGACTCAGGCGAGTGCTGGTATCATCAACGTTTTGGCGCCGAAGCTCTTAAATGCAAGCCCCCTTGCACCCAAGCGGAAAACGAGAAGGCCGAGCACTAAGGGTGGCAAGTGCTCCCGCCGATCTCCACAGCCGCCGATCCTTGTTTTTTGTGACGGACCGCATCTCTGGTGTTCGCTACCTCGTGGACACCGGGGCAGAGGTTAGTGTCGTCCCCGCAACCGTACAAGATCGTCGGCACCCCAGCACGTCGCAACTTCGTGCCGTGAACAACTCGGCCATTTCGACATACGGTGCGCGTTCCTTGACACTCGATCTCGGACTGCGGCGCACTTTTCGCTGGGTTTTTATCTGCGCGGCCATTCCGCACGCAATTCTCGGAGCAGACTTCTTAACGCGTTTTGGGCTGCTGGTGGACGTCAAGGGGCGACGTCTTCGAGACGAAGCGACACGACTCACCGTCCAAGGCATCGCCTCGTCTCTGCAGTCTATCAGCCCCACATTCGCATTTCCAGCTGAGGACTCCCCGTACACGCGGCTGCTCGGCGAGTTTCCACAGCTGACGCGCGTTGGACCGGACGAGTGCCCTATCCAACACACCGTGACACACCACATCGAGACGTCAGGAGCACCTGTCCACGCGCGTCCCCGCCGGCTACCCCCAGACAAACTACGGGTCGCCCGACAACAGTTCGAACACATGCTCGAGCTGGGCATTGTGCGCCAGTCGGAAAGCCCTTGGTCCTCGCCTCTCCACATGGTCCCCAAATCCACGCCAGGGGACTGGCGTCCGTGTGGCGACTACCGAGCCCTCAACCGCAACACAGCAGAAGATCGCTACCCAATCCCACACATTCACGACTTCACTGCATCGCTCGACGGCACTACCATCTTCTCCAAGATTGATCTGGTGCGTGCTTACCATCAAATTCCGGTCGAGCCCTCGGATATTCCAAAAACCGCCGTCACCACACCCTTCGGTCTATTTGAATTTCTGCGCATGCCATTCGGACTCAAAAACGCTGCGCAGACCTTCCAACGTTTCATAGACCAGGTGCTGCGAGGGTTTCCCTTCTGCTATGCCTACATTGATGACATCCTCGTGGCCAGCAAAACTGCCGACGAACATCTCGGACATCTCCGAGCCCTGTTCACTCGCCTGGCCGAATTTGGACTTGTAATCCAGATGGACAAGTGCGTTTTTGGCAAGCCCGACCTCGAATTTTTGGGCCATACTGTCAACGCTTCCGGCATCCGCCCACTCGATACCAAAGTGCAGGTGATCAGACAGTTTCCTAAGCCATCAACCAAGAAGCAACTCCGGGAGTTTCTCGGCATGATAAACTTTTATCGACGTTTTCTCCCGGGCTGCGCAGAAAAGCTCTACCCGCTGCACGGCATGCTCTCAGGCTCACGTAACCCCAAAGCCGAGCTCACTTGGGACGAGCGCTGCACATCAGCATTCCATCGTGCCAGAGAACTTCTGGTTACAACAACCATGCTTGTGCATCCCAAGGAAGCGGTCCCACTTTCGGTAGCCACCGACGCTTCGGACAACGCCGTCGGCGCTGTGCTTCAACAGGAAGTACACGGACAGTGGCAACCTCTTTCTTTCTTTTCCCGGAAACTAACTCCCACCGAGCAGCGTTATAGCACTTTCAGCCGCGAGTTACTGGCGATATACTTAGCCTTGCGGCATTTCAGGCATTATGTCGAAGGTCGGCAATTTTTTGTCTTGACCGACCACAAGCCCCTCGTGCACGCTTTTCGTTCACTGCGACCCGACGGTGGCAGCCATTCTCAGCGAGAGCTGCGACAAATGTCATGTGTCTCGGAATTTACATCGGACATCCGGCACGTTCATGGCGCAGAGAACGTCGTGGCTGATGCTCTGTCACGAATAGGCACATGCACCAACGAAACTCTGGCTGTCGTCGATTTCGCAAAACTGGCAGCTGCACAACGCAACGACGCCCAACTTCGCGACCTCCGTGCCACACCCGGACGGCTGGTATTCAGTGAGCTCTCTCTTCCTATGTGTTCGGCCGACCTTATATGCGACACATCAACGAGATCACCACGCCCCTACGTGCCACTACAGTTTCGCCGCCAGATCTTTGATGCCCTTCACGGACTTTCGCACCCCGGAATCAAGGCTACCCAACATCTTATAACATCTCGCTTCGTGTGGCCCGGCATCAACAAGGATGTTCGCCACTGGGCCCGCACTTGCATACAGTGTCAGCGCTGCAAAGTTCAGCGTCACACGGTCACACCCCTGGGAACCTTCAATCCACCCGACGCACGGTTCGACCACATCCACATAGACATTGTTGGACCGCTGCCGCCTTCCCAGGGAAATGCCTACCTTCTGACTTGCATCGACCGTTTTACTCGCTGGCCGGAAGTCGTCCCCCTGCCCAACATAACTGCGGAAACGGTGGCACGCGCATTCGTTGCATACTGGATTTCGCGGTTCGGCACGCCTTCCACTATCACGACTGACCGGGGCCGACAGTTTGAATCCAGTCTCTTCTCCAGCCTCACTAAGCTGCTGGGATCTCGGCGCATTCGCACCACTGCTTACCACCCCGCCAGCAATGGCATGGTGGAGCGCTTTCATCGCCAGCTGAAAGCCGCCCTCAAGACCCATCAACGTCAAGATTGGATGGAAGTTTTGCCCCTCGTTCTCCTCGGCATTCGGACAGCCCTCAAATCTGACCTCGGTTGCAGCGTTGCAGAGTTGGTCTACGGTACGACCCTTCGCCTCCCCGGCGAATTCTTCACATCCACACAAGCCGACGCCTGTCTGGACTCCACCAACTACGTGACCCGACTGCGGGAGGCTATGACACACATCCGTGCCACCGCACCCCGTCAAAAACCCAGCCAACCCTCCTTCATCAGCCAGGACTTGGCAACGTGCACACATGTCTTTCTGCGAAATGACGCCGTGCGAAAGCCCCTGCAACCGCCCTACGACGGGCCACACAAGGTGTTAAGGCGAGGTTCAAAAAACATCACACTTGCAATTCGTGGTCGCACCGAGGTCGTCGCATTAGATCGCGTTAAAGCAGCTTATTTAGATGGCGCCCCAACAGACACTTCTGCAACGGCACCACCCCACCCGGAAGCGCCACCTAAACAAACAACGCTCGCGCCGACCTCGCCTCTCCCTTCTCCACCCGACCACAAACAGATCATCGCCCCCGACAAGCAGCGCCCGACGAAGATCCAGACACGCTCCGGTCGCCACGTGCATTGGCCACAGCGTCTGGGCATCGCAGCTCCTTCAACAGCTGCTGCACACCTCACTCGCGCGCCCGCGGCGAGTCGAAAGCCTAGGCTCGGATAACGGTGGTCTCTAAACGTTCGCCTACTCTCTGGGGAGGGAGTACTGTGGTCACCTACGAACGCACCGACCCAGCGGCTCCCGAGAGAACTTTTCTCCACTCGATCGAGCGGCCCCGGAGAGCGTCATGTTACCTTACCCGGCTCAAGTGCTGCATCGTCGACGAATGTTGCCGCACGCTT